CAAATGTAGAAATTCTGCTCATACTATAGGGTATTTTCATTACTGCTCTTGTAGAAAATATGAACTTAGCACAAACAGTAAGGCATTTTGGTGTTGGGTCGATTGTTTCTCTGTTGTTAACAATGCTTCCCGGCAATAAATCTTATGCAGTTGGAAAGCCTGTTTATTTCCTCTTATATGGTGACACAAGTAATCCATTTACAGGTTGAACAACAGAGTTTGATATATGATCTGCACCCATGAAAACTTCTTCCTTTTTAAAACAGTGTTTTTCCTTCCCACTGTTCCCAAGAGCTTGATCAAAAGGTCTCATTTGATTGGTGGGATTTTCTCTGTATTATTGTAGGTCTCTACCTTAGTATATAGTATGTCAGTATAAAGTATGTTGAGGTGACTGCTGTTGTCATTTGATGCTATATAGAACTATACACAGCCACAACAGCTGGTCACCACTTGGTCACACTCCTGTGTGATGGCATCAACCTGGACTTACTGCTAAATGTCACGTTCCTCCACATGTTCAGGTTCCTGTGCACATGTTGCTGATGCCAGCAGTGGAAGGCAGTCATGGCAGCCCTGTGAGACTGGAGACTAGCTGTAATGCAGACTGTTCAGGGTTGTCTTGGTAGAAAGCTGTTGGCGTGTCATCTTGCAAACCTTGACTGTAGTTTTGTAGAAGACTGCCTATGATTCACCAGTGCTGAGAGTGAGGAAACAACCTGACGGAGACCCTACCTTGTAGCCTGTCTCTGGCATGCCCAATTATGGAACTTCACTTTGGAGTGCAGTAGGCCTCCCTCCAATAATGCAGCAGCTTGGTTTTTGCTTAACATCAGCTGGAAGTAGCCCTATGGGACAGCCCTATAAAGATCAGTCAAACATGGCCTGGGGCATACACCAACTGACCGGTGTACCACGGTCCGTGCTCATCTCAAGATGCTGCTAAACACTAGCCAGTCAGGCACCTGATTGTCAGCAACTAGGCTACTAGAAGTTCGAAACAAAACTCAATAGCAGAACAAGCTGTTCAGCACATGCTCAACTCTGGTGCTCAAATGTAGCACTAGCTTTAATGGGAAATAAACACGCTTTCCAACGGTATAAAAGTTCTTACCAAGATGCATCGTTACAATAAAGAAATAGTCAACTGCATGCAAATTACCTTTTTGTGCTTGTGTTGTATTGCCACCTTTTATTTGTTTGGTGTTTGGATATTACTTCTAGTTATGTTATATCATTCCTGGCACGCTGTGCTCTGTAGGTGTGCAGTAGATCGACTTCAGTCAGACAATGGGAGTCTTGTAATCCTCTGTACAGATGCCAGTGGCAGAAACACAACAGCAGGAAGAATACTGGAAATTACTAAGGGGGGCGATTATGGTGAGTTACAATTTCCATGAGAATTTCCAAAAATGTTCACAATATTTACCTTTTTCGCATGTTTGGAAGGAGTTTTAATATACCCAGTTGTGCACAGTCTTTGCTGGAGTTTTGTTTGATTGCATTACATCCTGAGAAAGAAGTGAAAATACATTAGCATCCTGGATAACCTTTCACATTTATTTCCCTGAAAGTGACATGTGTTTTTATGAATGTCTTTCATTTTGTAAGAACAGTGTTTTGGCAACAGATTCAGAAACACACCAGGTGAGTGCAGAAACAGTGAAGGTTAAATGTAAAAATGATGTGATCCAGAAATATTCCCCATTTGTGGTGTGTAGATTTGCCAGTGGAATGTAAGATGGTGTCCACAAGTAAGATTTAAAGCTGTCAACAATAATAACTGTCTAGATGATGGTTTGGCGCTGTTGAAAACACAGCTGAGAGGAATCTAGCTCTTCTCACATTTAGAAAATAATCAATAACAGCAGCACTTTACACTGCTTATCCTTCCTTTTTCCACAAAAAGAAAATTACAGCTCTTTGTTCCAAAATATATGAGGCAGGTTATCCTTGCGCTAAGTTAATCCTTAACTTTGATCTCTCACTCCATTTGAAAATGTCACTTCTTGCCACAGACCACCTCTCTCTTGGCCTGATGCCGATTTAGCCAGTTACCCAAACTCCAAAGTGATTACGGTTGGGAAATGAGCACACCCCGTCTCGGATCATAAATTTTTAAGGGCGGCAAACCTCCATTCATATTTTTCCTGCCAAGAAATCGTAATCCAGTAAATGTGCCACATTGCCTCACCATCACGCTTTTGAATAAAAGATCAATACATTCTTTTCCAGTTTGATAAAACACGTCCGATTTAAATCTAGAATTCCCTCTTTCCTCCTTTTTTGTGTCTCATATAAACAACACAGCAATTATGTCTGATGAACGTGGTCTATGTTTTTGATTCCAAAACAAACAAAACAACACCAGTGCATGAATCAAGAAAAGCAGTTAAGTAGATTACAATCCCTGCAACATCAGTGAGACAGAAGAGATTGTCTCTGGGATAAAAACATGCATGCAGACAGTTTGTGATGGTGTTACAGATGAATGGCAGTAGGTCTATGAGTCTATTGGAAGTGCCTAAATAAGACCTATGTCTCCTTGTCCCAATAGAAAATGAGCCCTCTGCCTATGACCTGCATTCCAGTGGTGGAGCACCACCTGTGGGGGGTTTCATCTACAGGGGCTGTCAGTCTAGGAGACTTTATGGCAGTTATGTCTTTGGAGATAAAAATGGGTAAGTACAATAAAGAAATGACTGATTAATATATTTAAACAGACTATTTAAGTAGCTGTATGTTTTTAAGAATTAACTGTGTTTACATGATGACAAAAATCTATATTTCAAAGTCATTCTAACATCTTTATCCTCCCAGAGTTGATTTATGACTTAGTAAGATCAACATGACTTTTCTTCTAATATTAAAAACTATTTCCTTTGCATTAGCATGTGCCAGTGTAAACACCAAGTTCATCCACATGGGAGGAAAACATAGACTCCCATGTCACCATGACAGCGCGGACCATTGAGTGTCAGTGGAGATTACACATTGTTCTCTGTGCTGTTCACACTTTTCTCTGGTTTTCTCTGGTTTTCTCTGTTTTGCTGATGTCAAACACTGACAGTTGAGTAAACAAAGGGGGTAAAGTGTGTCCCCTCCCCAATCCGTCCAATTATCGCAAGCTGGCACCGTGTTTAAAACAATGTGTGATCAGTTAATTCTGTGCCTTATTACAATTTGGGAGCATTTTGTTGTGGCAAAGTGAAGGCTCCGGCATGATGTTTGTTTTGAAACTAAAGGCTGACTTCCTAACTAACACCATGTGGGACATGGTGTAGAAAAAGAATATGGGTCATGAACCATGCTGTACCATGCTACTACAGTTGATTTCTTTTGCTTTCTCCCCTGTGCACAAATGTAGTACTAAACCTTTTACAGTATCATCCAGTCTGCAGTCACTTACCATGAGTATTTTTACTTTTCACTTTAGTAACCTTCGCATCCTTCAGAAGTCTACATCTTCCACATCAGCGAGTGGTGAAGAGTGGCAGGAAAAAGCTCTGTGCCTGGGCTCAGCTGACTCCTGTGGCACTATGCTTGTTGGACACATCTTGGGTTTTGGAGAGGATGAACTGGGTTAGTATGGCAATTAATAAAAAAGCTAAAAATGTAATTGCTTCTGAGATCTTTTATCTTTGTTTCTTTTCTCTCTTGCACTGATCTTTCTTTAGATTTACACCTGACCTATGTTATGACATATTTTCTGAAGCAAGGGTTTTAATCCATGACTCCTTGAAGGCTTGTTGACTCTGTGTGTGTATGTCTGTGTGTACAGCACATACATACATAACACACATAACCACAGCATAAAACACCACTGAAAATCTGAAAACAGGCAGCATGGTGGCGTGATGGTTAGCACTGTTGCCTCACAACACCACTGTCTGGCCAAGGCCTTTCTGTGTGGAGTGTGCATGTGTTAGCCCTGCATCAGACTGGTGACCTGTCAAGGGTGTACCCTGCCTCTCGCCCTATGTTAGCTGAGATAGGCCCCCCACAACCCTGATAAAGATGCGACTGGATGGATGGATGATAAAGCCAACACGCCTCTCATTAAGTAGTCCAAACATCTTAGTTAGTTGTCATTTTTGTAGGATAGTCATAATCTTCCAAACCTCCTTAATTCACTGTGCCACCATGACATGTGTTAAGTGTTTCTCTGGGCAAGTTAAAGATTAAGTTAATATATGCAGAGTAACCTGAAATGAACTGACACAAGACAGTTTTATAAGTTGGATCCCCACCACACACTCGAAGAATTGTAAACCGTGAGCTCTGATGTTTCTGATTAAAATGAACACATGATGTAAATTGTTCGCCCAGCCATCAGAAATCTTTGATCACAGTTGTTGCCAGGTCTTGGAGTTATTGTTTGACGAGATATTTAAAGATTTCTGTATTCGATCAGGATTTGCAAGTGGTGCAAGAATTGCAGCGGGGGCCAGGCCTATGTCCCAAAAAAGAGGCCCCACAGACAGATGTTTACAATTTGTCCCCCTATGGAATTTTCTTGCAGGCTTGTTCCTCATTAAATCATCTGCCTGGTTCCCAGTCATGAGTATCCAATTGTCTCATTAAACTCTTTTTTAAAATCCATTGGCAAGTGCAGAAATGCAGAAGCCTGTGATACACTCATTTTCCTAAACCCCTCATGTCCTCCCCTTTCATTTTCTTGTGTTTCCTTGTCTTGTCTTGTCTCTTCTTTAGTTAGGCACTGGGATCTGCTGAATAGTTGTTCGGACATTGGAAGTATTTCCATCAGATGATGCTGATGGGATTCCCACTTAACTGTTCTTCTTTTGCAGGTGAAGTCTACATACTTGCAAGTAGTAAAAGCATGGTGCAGTCACACAGTGGGAAACTCTACAAGCTGGTGGACCCGAAAAGGTAAAAGCAGGAAGTCCCTTGGTAATTTGTGCTGGTATGTAGTTAGTTGTTCGGTGATTAAGTGATTCCTTCTTAGTGGGGAGGACATTCAGCTGTTCATTAAAAAATCCTGCATTACGTCCACAAGAGGGCAAACCAAGACAATGAGAGACAAAACTACTGGTAAATCGCTCTCTCTTGAGTTGAGTTTAGTTATAAACTCATTCCCCAAAGGTTGTAATTGAGTTATTCGTTCGAGTTAGTCTGAACAACATTTTCAGTAGCTTTAAGTGTTGATTGTGATTCCTGTCAACAACAACACAGATTATTTTCAGTATATTCAAGCAGGACAGCCGTTCCCAAGTATTGGAGAATTTGGGATTTTTTTTAGACAGCAATTATAATTGTTACCTTAGCATGTTATTAGCCTATTAGCCAATTCTTACCGTTAACTATTTTAGGCATATTAACGCAGCTTTAAAAAGTTAAGGAGGTTTAAAAAATTAAAAAATACAAGCAAATAATTCAACAGTGTGAAGTTGTTTAACCGATATCATGAATTCATAATCACAGCTAAAGTTTGGAAAAATAATTCAGGAGGATGATATCTGAAAGGTGAAGCAGCAAACGCTGTACGTACTAAGGTTGTCACGATACTTGATTTTCCTTATACCCAGGAAAATATTCTAAATACTAGATACAATTTTTGAATTTTTGATTTTGATAAAAATTACACTTCCTCTTAGAACAATAAAACGAATAACATCAATGATGACAGCATTTTAGGTTGCCAGACATAAAGAAAATACAGTAAGGTAAACATGTAAGGTTGGCTGAGGTCGCACTGCACTTTTCGTGACTTGGCACCATATTTTTTATTTTTGATCAAAAACAAAAGAAACACAATACTTTCTAGATACAAATATTTGTGATATCATGGTAAATGAACTCATTGTATTAGGATTACAGACAGGCAGGAGGTTTTCTCAAGCATTAAGGTTATCATTTTTTTTATATTAGCCATAGCTGCTAGCCTCTTTCTTAATGATAATAGACAGCTAGTGTGGCTATAAGGTAACTGTTAATACTTACCGGTAGATGGATAATGCTTGTAGACAACAGCTAGGTTCTGTGCAGTTAACTATGATGTGTGTGTGTGTGTGTGTGTGTGTGTGTGTGTGTGTGTGTGTGTGCTGATATCAATACTATTGCTAAAGATGATCTAATCAGTATTAATTTTGTATTGTCAGTTAGTTTCTTAGTATTGAGATATATGTATATGTATGTATGTATGTATGTATGTATGTGTATATATATGTGTATATATACGTATATATATGTGTATGTGTATATATATATATATATATATATATATATATATATATATATATATATATATACACACACACACATATTTTTTACAATATGTGTTAATGTGTGAATAAGTGTTAATGCAGGTGAATACTTCACTGTTAGCAAAGTCATATCCGTTAACACCCCTAATCAGGACTGCCTATTACAGATGGAAGAACTACAGTAAACCACCAGCTTTATTTTCATGCTGTGATTGTTTTGTTGTGAAATTTAGATGAGCCTAACAGCATATTATGAGATCTTAGTTACTCACAGATCATCACATTGAAGAACAGTGTCATCCTCACTGCTTACACACATTCCTGCAAGTAGAATTGTTTATGCACATTACAGCTTCCTAGAATGGATGCTGAGTGGTTACTGGAGAAAAAAAAATAGCCTTTCAAATTGTTTGCTTAGAAAAACACTGCTAGCAGCACTGATTCTATTGCTTTATTCAACTTTTGTCTACTGGTTAGATGCTAAATATGCAACAGTGATATTTTGGTAAGTGTGAGGGAAAAGACAAAGACACCTGTTGTCAAGTAGCGACATTTCAACATATTAACCACTAACAGGGTGATATGGACAAACTCTGTATAGCCAAAATATCCATGTAGATACACTATCCATTCATTTTCTTCCACTTATTGAATTCAGGGTCACAGAGGGATTAGAGTCTATCTTGGCTGTCATAGGGGAAGAGGTGGGGTACACTTTGGACAGGTCGCCAGTCTATTGTAGGACTAACACAGAGAGACAGACAGCCATTCACACCTACATCCAGTCTAGAAGCACTAATTAACCTAACATGCGTATCTTTGGACTGTGGGAGGAAGCTCAAACACGCAGGCAGAGAAGGCCACAGCTGGGTGGTGGATTCGAACCCTCCAGCACACGTCTACTTCCCTTTGGGAGGTGAAATCCATTTCTTTTCCAGTTTAATGCTTAATTAGCTGTGGAGGGAACATGTGCACAAGTGCAGCTTCATCATTTATATGTCAGTACATGTCACCATATCATAATCCTTACCATATGCATCGCAGTATTAGAAATCATTCTGATAGTGATAGATCTATAAACTCTGCTTGGAGAGCCAAGTACATGTGAAAAACATTTGTCACTCAAGATGAGGAAATATGAAAACGGAATGAATTCGACCCACAAAAATACAAGAGGGATGTATAAAAAGTTTGATCCGTAATATTTGCAGTACAGAAATCACTTCAAACATAAGAAGACTTTGTAATTCAAACCAACTGCATATAAAGTCTCAAGCCAAACCCACTCAGTGATTGTGCTTTATCTTTTAATCAGTGCTTTTGCAGGGAGATGAGAGCATAAGATCCTGTAGGCCTACCGGTTCAAGTGAATGAGTGGCTTGTGATTAAGAGAAGTAAATAAAGTAGCATAAGCATACTGAGGAGAAAGAACACAATAGAAACATATTCACATCTTATTATTCCTGGGTGACGGCAGTGCCACCCAGGCATTAGCACAGTTAATTACAGCACAGATGTTTCAAAGGGGGCCCTGATGGCTTGCTTCGTATTTATGTTTTCTGGCATGGCTGCTGGACGCATTTCTCCCAGAGAACAGTTCTTTCCACCATCAACTGGACTTGTTTAGTTTGTGTGGACCCTGTGGTGTTAGAGTCCTGACTCCTAATACACTCTGGCTTCGTTATTAGGATTTTGTTACAGGGAGGATGGAGAGGGGGGCAAAGGGGGGGAAATGAATAGGGTAGCTAACGTGTCTGACCCCAGCACGTTATCAAGTCTGGTGGTCCTCCCTTCTTTTCTCTTCCCTACTGCAGGGACATCTGGACTCTGAAGCCCATTCAGACAGAGGTTTGTTTTAGAGTGTGGTGGTTTTTGTGGCCCGGTATAGCATCTCACGCTGTGTTTTAATCAACTCTGTGTTTGGGAACATAGAGTGGGAAAAAGAGGAACCGTTAGGGGAGCGGTAAAGGCTTACAAGGAAACATCAACCATAAAATCCCTCAGCAGTGTTTGTGTAAACACGTCCTGGCCAAATGACTTCATTTTTAGGTATTTGTTTGTCAGTTGGAGTACCCCTCCAATAATAAATAGGCCACCATGCATTTTGAAACATGCCGAATGGGTGTGGTGTGACTGAGGTTGTACGCGAGAGAAAGCAAGAATGTAGAAAGGCGCGGCTTGTTTTTGGTGTTGCAGTGGGATAGAAATATGCATTAATATTTATCATTAATATCTTTACTGACCGTATCTCAGTGTGGTGACTGTAAGATGTGGTTGTGGTTTAACGATCAATGAGAGGACCTTAGAGTTTAGAAGATAAGAATAGGTATCTGTGGAAGCATGTTTAATGTTTCACCTTTCCACAGCAAAGTGATTAAATGTAATTTCTACCCTTTGTTGCTTGTCTTTAACATACATCAGTAACCCTGGTTCTGCGCTCCTGAGTGTGCCTCGAACATACTGCAGGTATTCAGGGCCTGGGTTTTGCTTCTTTTCTGTCCCACTGAGTCTGCATTTAATAACAATTATTTGTACAGTGAAAGCATTATATTTGTGCCAGGAACAAACCTGTTTTATGTCCTTTTACCTGTTCTGAGGGTCATACAGTAAAGTTACGTGTTTATCACATCATAATTCAGAATCCCCACGTTGCACCCCCACCTTGCTCCTATGGTCAGTCCTTGGCAGGAGCTTAATTAACATATAGAGCCAGATCTCCTGCTGCTTTCTGGTACAAAATGCAATTTGCCATTCTTCATGTTGCAGCTCGTCACAGGGAAAGCAGTATTGAGAAGGACTTTTCACACGTTCGGGTTTTGTCAGCTGCAAGCTAGACTGATTGAATTACAGTGAGCAGAGCCCTTAAAAAGACACAGTGAACTTCAAATAGGGCCCTGGGACCTCCTTTATGAACTGCATTAGACATGGAAGTCACAAATCACTAGATGTGCTGAGGAAGGAGACCACGGGTGCTCCTTCGTGGATATATTTATCTATATGTGTGCTTTTCTGTGTGTTGTGTGCATAGATGTAAACCATGTGGGTGGTGGGTACACACACACATGCGAGCTTGTGTGCGTGTGTGGTACGCCAGCTCCCAGCACGCTACAGGAAAAAAAAAGTCTTTTCTTTATTTTCCTATCCCTCCTAAATCTTCCTACATCTCCGCTGTGGTCCTCCCCTTGACAAAGCTGCTTGCTAGTCCCACTGAATAGCCCTGGCTCCTACAATACACAGTAAATTTCTTACACAATTAAAACAAGGAAAGAAGCTACAAAAGGAGCCCCCAAACAATGGAGTTGGATGACAAAACAGCAAAAGAGACCACACTGGGCCGTTTGATTAGGCCATTGTTAGAGTGCACAGTGTACACCACTCCATAGCCCTTTTCTCACATACACCTCGTGTCAATCAAACAGACCCTGCGAGCTAACAAGCTAAACACAGATACACACTGATAACAAGTTTGAGGCAGAGCATTCGCACTCCTTCGACATGGAAGATTTGAAGGATGGTCACTGTTAATGTTTAACTGACGTAAGGGAAGAAGAGAGGACACAAAGAAAGAACCTGATCCTGCATTCATCTGCCCTGTTCTGTATGTTATCTTTGCAGCTGTGCTTGCGTGCTTTGTCACTTTTTGCTCTGTTTTATGTTCAGTTATGGCATGATCAGTGTCTCATACCACTCTCTGACTTTAGTTGTTCTCTTTCTGTCTCTCCACTTGTAACTCTTGTGGAAGCACTATCGCCTTCTCCCACTCCCTTACTCTCACACATACGCCACCCCTCCCAAAGTTGATAAATTCCCACAGTGGCTGTTGACCCAGCTGCCTTTGTCAAGTGGTGCTACCAGCAGGTGCTGTTTTCACAGCCACCCTGGCAGTCGTACAGGCTGTTTAGTAGCACTGCTGACCCCTGCCTGCTATTAACAGTGTTAGCTACAGACCAGCCCCCCCAATTCTCTAGGGACTCTTACTCTTTCTCCCTCTCCTTCTCTTTCTGTTTTCTCCCCTCTTTTGCTCTTTTTTTTTTTTTTTTAACTACATGCAGCCTGCAGCAACAAAAGCCAGCAGAGATGGAGTATGGAGTTGGGTGCTGATGGGAGCATGGGAATCAACCCCCACCGACACTCCATCCTCAAAATTTAAAGCAACTTTAACACATACACACAGGCAGTGTGTCTGTCAGAACACCTGCAGCACACTTTTCAAATCAGGAAATCAGCATTTAAGATTTCTTTATTTAACATATATTTGTGAAATTCTTCAAATATATAATTAGTATGCACAAAATCAAGTGTATTTATCCCCCAGTTGTTAGTATTTTTTGTAATAAAACTGCATCTTTCATTTAAATCTGTACAGCAAGTAAAATGAAAATAATTTATACCGAAGTACCGACTGCTGGAACAGGTGATCAGCACCTCACCAAAGCAGAATAGAATGAGTATCTAGTGGTGCTTCCACAACAAACACAAAGTAAACACTTTGAGGAGCTTCATTACTCACAGAACCTGCTCAGTGGGGCTACTACATGCAAATCCAGGTTGGCATTTACACCGCATTACCAAAACCTGTCAGAGCAACTCTTATGACACCTCCGACACTCAGAAATGGAGGAAAAGCTTATTGATGCCATTTGCGGGCAGCCTTCGCTCTTAGAGACAGGTAAAACAGGAAAGAACACAATCGTAAGACTCTGATAAGTTCTGAGATGTTATTGTAACGTAAAACGTGACTACCATAGGAACAGCTACCCAGATGGAAGTAATATGTATTCTAAAAATAGCTGATTTGAGCTTTAATATACAAATTGCTGGTTGTATGTCTTCAATCTAGTTTTGGCTTCTCCTGCTGATTGACTATTTGCTCCCCTGCCATGATTGATGAGGCCCGTCCTATCGTGGAGTGAGAATTACATACATACACATTCAGTGACCTCACTGCTCACGCCTCTCATACCAGCACCGGTCCACAAGAGTCCAGTTACCCTGCCTGTGTGTCAGACATATGCACACACGCCTTAATGTCCAACAATGTTTTGTAGCAGAATGTTTACACATCTATTTTTCTTCCTCTCTCTCCTTTTCACAAATGTACACACTAGCAAATGTGTGTGTGTGTGTGTGTGTGTGTGTGTGTGTGTGTGTGTGTGTGTGTGTGTGTGTGTGTGTGTGTGTGTGTGGGCACCAACAGACGCTTCACATTCGAACTTGATTACGCACTCACTGTATTATTTCCAGATTTGTGGAGCGTGATATGAAATAATTGTGTTTCAGCCCATTTGCTGATGTGCGTGTCTGGATGTTTGTCTTAATATGGAATAATTTGCTTCTCTGGTGTTCAAACTTGGCACATATGGTGTGGAGATGTTTCTGTTTGTGTCTGTGTGCATTTTCCAAACCGTGTTCATATCTGTGGGAGCCATGCTTTAACCCCGTATGTCGTTTCGTTCTTCGAATAAGAATTCAAAATAAAAACAACCACACATGAAGCGGCTCATGTCCCAACTACACGCTTAAATATTAACTTGCTATTAATTGGTAATACGTAGAAAAAGAGCCGCCGTCACTTTAACAGCATGTCACTGGAAAAAGAAACACACGCCTCCTTCAGGAGCAAATACATAAATTTTTAACTTGGCAAGTTAAAAGTTTACATCTTAAAGTCCCTCACTTCAAAAGTGCTTTCCCACTTAAGTTACATATCAACAAAACCTGATAGGCTCGAAAATCTGAGATCACGGACGCAGCGTGCGATGGCAGATTTGTCTTGTTGTACCATTCAAAAATAGCTTTGCGGTATATAAATAGCTACCACAATACATCACAGTCAAGTGTTAGATGCTTAAATAGAACACATTTCCTACAGTCCCATCCTAAATCATGGTATAGTGTTACTGTGTAGCTCAGCCAGTGTGAGTTGGATGAGTGTTTTGTTTTTGTTTAGTCTCAGCTTTTTGTTTAACAGGACTTTTTTTTTTAAAGGTTGCGTGAAACTTTGTAGAAACTGTTGTGATCTGGCAACTAAATGTGTTTGTGGGCGAGGCTCAAACCTCTAAACAGACTTGTGTAAGCCCAATTAAACGACCCGTGGACGCTGAATGACTGATTTCTGTTTTGGACACAACAGCAGTTCATTCATTCATTTGAGGCAGATGCTGATTAATAGGTAGAATTTAAACAACATATAGCACATCTCTTGACATGCAGTCATCCAAACAGTGAATTATACCAAAGCTACATGCCTTTAAACCACATTTTCCCTTCATAAATCAACACAATTCTGATTCTGTGTTATTATTATTATTAAGAGTTGAAATATGTTCTCCGGTTATTAACTTGAAATGTCTTGTATTATTTATTTGGTTATAATAAATTGTCGCTGTGTCGCTGTGGCTTAATCACCATATTGAGAGGCTTCTGTCTGCTGAATACTTACTTTGTCTTCTTCTGTTTTTTTAACAATTGCTGCAGGCCTTACACCCCTAAGGAGTGCCAGCATCAGGTGGAGCCACCGGAGCTGCTGATGACAGCTTGTTCCAGACACTGTAAGAACGGCCGCTGTACTCCCACCGGCAAATGCTGCTGCAACCCCAGCTGGGAAGGACAATTTTGCCGAGTCGGTAAGAGTGCATCTGTCGCCCTCAGCGTATAACATGGACCAACATCGACGTGTTCTTTCACTTCAGATGTGGAAAAGATGTTCAGTAATATCTGCCATAGTTTCCCTAATCAGAAATCAGAGTACGTCTGAATAAAACAAAGTTTAAAGTGTTTTCACTCTCTCATACCCTGTGACTGTAGCCAAATGTGAACCAGCCTGCCGCAATGGAGGAGTCTGCGTGGAGCCCAACAAGTGCCTGTGTAAGAGTGGCTACTCCGGAAACCAGTGTGAGAAGAGCGAGCGGGGTATGCCCAACGACCAGGAGAATGGCGGGATAGTGGACCACATCATCGACATGACCTCGTACCTCTTAGACCTGACCAAGTACGTCGTATAGTGGTGTGCGGAGGGGGCCGCTCCCCATCATCCATCCTCAAGTCTACACACATCTACCTTTCGCCCTCAAAAGACTCTTAAAGAGGTTTGCTAAATGTGGCCCCTTAATTTCCCCTCACATTCTCACGGGCAAGCACACACACACACACACACACACACACACACACACACATGCAGGACCCCATCAGACTGCTTTTAAACCACATCACCATACCAAGCTTTTCCTCTCCTTACCTATAAGCTACTTGTTCCTGAACACCAGGCCTGGCATCCAAGCCGTGTTCACATTTCAGAGAGCCCTGCAGACAGCTGATTGATGAGTTCCACTAAGACATTTCCTCTGCTGCTCTAAAAACGCCTTCACTGGCTCCACAGGAACAGGAACTCTGCCGGAGCGGACTGTTAAAACCCCGAGACTTTTATGCTGCCTTACGAAAAATGGAGTTTGAGGCATTTCAGTGGAGACAGTTGATTATTCAGGAGTTCATTAAGGATTCAGAATTGGGTGGCTCAAGATGCAGTTTGTGTTCACGGTCCGTTGAAAACCTAGCAAAGAAATAAATGTCTACGCACTCAGACTGTGAGCACGAGGCATGCGTCTCATAGAGCCTGCAGTGCTTTTTGCTTTACTATTCCAAAAGCACTAACAAGAGGAAGGCTGTGTTGACTCATTTATGTTGTGTTCAGTTTGTGGGTACATAGTCATAAACAGCAATTTACAGTATAAAGAACGTATCACTCATTTGCTATCAGTGTACAGAGAGGATCTACACACAGACGTAGGAATGAGCGAGTTGAGAACATTGTACTTTGTCAGCGCCAGTTTCATGCAATTTGAACGGAGTGTTCGAATCCCATGCACTGTATCGTTTTCCTTTCATTCACTTTTTTATTCAAAATTAATTTCAACATTTATTAAAAGCGCAATGAGAGTAGTTTCAGCTCCACACGTTCACACAGCACACTGTCACAGGTATGGTTTAACAAACTCTTTTCATTGCGTCACACACTGAAGCAGAAAGCTGAAGTCAAAACTATAAAGGGAAGGGATGAAACGCGCTGATGTATATTTCCAATAGAGCTTACCTACTTAGTAATACAAGAAAAAATCTACAAAAAAATCTATAGCATTACTATTGTTATCATAGAGGAGGGTTTATTTTTTTAAGCGTAATAATATATGGGAGAATATGGTGTTTATAGAAAGCAATTTTACACTAAGCTCGTCAGTTCATGTCATTTCATGTTGTACTTATACATATGCAGCTTTTATAAAAGACACGCGAGGATGTTTTCTTTTTTTGCCCAGAGTACAAGTAACGCATGTCTGTGCCTGCAAATAGTCATTCGGAGGAGTTGGTGAAGCTCATCTAAAACCCACCCACCCCCACCCCCACAGCAAGACCGTCAGAATTGTGCTTCTGTAGTAAGATGATCAAAGATCTCGACAGGCCACCAAGTCAGTGTGGAAGGAGCTCAGAGACAGGGCTGGCATTAACCTGAGGAAGAAAGTGCAAATTCTCTTGTGAGCATTTCCAGAGTAAGGCAAGAAATTTTAAGAATGTGTTTGTTATTATAGATGCATATAGATGCATTCTTTCAAACCCGAGACTCATCCTAATAAGAACATTTAATTTTTTTACTTTTCTTCTTCACTACCCGTAAAGCCAGTCTTCCCAGAACTGACAGCTGTTGTTTTAAGTTTTTAAGGAAAATATTTATCCTTGTACTTTATCCACAGCTTTTATTTTGAAAATCTAGTTTCAATAACTTGATTTTCAATTAAAGTTTAGTCAATTGAAGTTTAGTGGCCATAAATGATGTGCTTATTGTTCATCTCCTGCTTTCCTTGTGTTTGCTGAAATAAAACAACTGTACCTGGTCTTAAAACATCAAAAAGGAATTCATGCTGTAAAATGGAAAATTATAATTTTTTAGCACTTAATGTGAAAGTTGCATTGTAGCTGCTGAGACGGCGTGGTGTGAATAGAATAACCATTTTCATTATTTAAGTAGTTACACAAATAAAATAATTATTTAAATTCTCTATGTTGTTTTTACCATTGTACTGTATGTGACAATTTTGTATTCCTGTATTGTAAATAAAAGTAGGGATAACTTGGTTTCTCTTCAGAAATATCAATATGTCTATTAAAATGTATAGCATGTCTGAAATATTTGTCTCTCTTGTTTAAGATGTTTTAAAAAAAAGTATCTATTTTTAAAATTATTTTCTTATATAAATTTTCTAATCAGTTCATAGTGTGTACTATAACATAAAAAAATTTTAACAGTTAAAATTGACCAACTTGGAGCAACATAACTATAAATGTAACTATTAGGAGTGAAAACATTTCATGAATGACTTATGAAGGAGTGGTACAGCCATTAAAGGGTTCCCTATTCAATCAGAGCTTGGTGAAAAAGGAGCAACCTTCACAGATGACTAGGGATGGGTACCGGTATCGGTTCTGATATAAAATGGTAGTAACCAGACCGAAAAGCAGCGCACATTTTGGTGCTTTATTTCTGTGCTTTTTTTTCCTGAGATGTCATACACTTTAGATTCTAGCCAATCATTTTACGTTTCCAAGGATAGTAGGCGGGCCCAGGTACGTACGTTCTTTTAGAGCAGAGCTACAGATTAAAAACGCCCAAGGCGAGGCGGTCAAACTCTGGCTGTACTTCACAGCAAAAGATGCAAACTCAGCAGCCTGCAACAAGTGCTATAAGGTGATACTGTGCAAAGAAGGTAACTCGACGAACCTGGCGACGTATAGCATTTTGTTAAAAGCCGAGAAATGTGCCGTATTTGATAGCTTGCTGCGAGACCTCACACCGGGCACATCTACTGCGGGTGTGGTGCCCGTTATCGGACCTGGAGTTAGCAACATCCCCCAAAAACCCGAAGAGTAGAGTCCTGGCCCCTAGCCCTGCCAGTGTAGCAGAAATGATTGTTGTATTGCTGATAATGTTTGCACTCCGTGCTTACTGTCCCTTGTGGTCCACCGTAGTGGCAACGGGGAGTGTTTGCTGTCACGAAAGTGGGTGTGTTTGATGTTGAAATGGACGAGCGGCAATAAAGATAATGGTGGCTCACGAAGCAGATTATCAACACGTTATTCATAAGTTTGAGACAGAATATTACATGGTGTCAGAGTAAATTGAACTAAACGCCCACCGACAGAGCGAAATGGATTCGTCGGGAGTTCCTGCACCACGGATGGACTGGGATTCAGCCAATCTTCCCGATGCCTGGCGGAGGTTCGTGCAACATGTGAAGCTAATGTTTAGCGGCCCGCTAAGCGGCAAGCCCGAGGAGACCCAGTGCAGCTATCTTCTTCTGTGGGTAGGAGAAAGAGGCAGGGACATTTATAACACATGGCAGCTGTCTGATGAAGAAGCTAAAAAGCTGACCACATATCTCGACAGGTTTGAACAGTACCTCATGCCGAAAACGAACACCATTTTCGCCAGATACAAGTTTAATGAAAGACTCCAAGGTGAAGGGGAGTCATTTGAACACTTTGTGACCGAGTTAAAGTTACTCGTCAAGCAGTGTGGCTACATTAACAGTGATGAAATGGTCCGAGACAGGATTGTCTTTGCAACCAGTTTACCACAAGTCAGAGAAAAGCTGCTGAGCCAAGGGTCAGATTTGACTCTAGAAAAAGCCATAGACATTGCACGCTCCTATGAGATCGCACGAGAGCAATTGAAAGCCATGGTTGACCCACACACGAGCCTGCAGGGAGCAGCGCCCGCGCATGCAGTATCCGCTAAGCGCCAGAGTACGCAGCAAAAAGATAGGAGGGCACCTCATTATAATAAGATGGGAAAAGTGTGTGGAAGATGTGCACGAGCACACAGCCAGAAGGAGGAGTGTCCTGCAAAAGGGAAGAGGTGCAAAAAGTGCAATAAAATGAACCACTTTGCCAAAGCATGCCGTTCACAAGCACAACACCAACCCAACCCAGTGTACTCTATTAACCCTGACACTCCAAGCGATGAAGCGGAGCTATTCATAGATTCCATAACAAAGTGCAACGAGGGGGAGGCCGATGAACAGGCTTACGCCGACGTAGAAGTAGGCTCACTGCATCACACCGTGAGTTTTAAGCTTGACACAGGAGCCACTGCTAACGTCATCCCTGCCCGATTGTTTAAGAAGTGTTTTAAGCAGGTTAGCTTGGCACCGCCCACACGCACACTATCTGGCTATGGAGGAGAAAAACTCAACATCAAGGGCACATGCCAGTTGAAGTGCAGGTGGAAAGGCATTCACAAGATGCTGACATTTGACATAGTAGACACTGCAGCACCCCTCATCCTAGGGTTGAGAGCATGCCTGGATCTAAACCTAGTCAAGCTGGTCATGTCAGTACAGATCACAAATGTCATGGAGGAGTTTGCCGATGTGTTCGAGGGCATAGGGAAATTCCCAGGAGAATGCGACTTACACATTGACCCAGACGCCATGCCCGTTGTGTGCCCCCCCCCCCCCCCCCCCCCCCCCCGGAGGATCCCTTTCACACTGCGGGAACGACTGAAACGGGAGTTGGATGACATGGAGAAAAACGGCATAATCATCAAAGTAAAAGAACCCACAGAATGGGTAAACGGACTGGTGGTCGCAGAGAAGCGTACTGGGAAGCTCAGAGTATGCCTCGATCCTCGCGAATTAAACAAAGCCATCAAAAGACCTCATTACCCGCTTCCTTTTTTTTTTTTTTTTTTTTTTTTCATAAATGACATCAGAAACAGCAGTATGCGACATTACGTGATGGCAGAGCTTCAGTTCATCCTTTGTCATTTTTTTTTTTTTTTTTTTTTTTTTTTTTTTTTTTTTTACCCGCTTCCAACATTGGATGACATCACACCAAAGCTGGCAGGAGCACAGTACTTCAGTGTCATGGATGCTCGCTCAGGCTATTGGGCCATCCAACTAACCACCAAGTCATCGCTCCTCACCACCTTCAACACGACCTTTGGCAGGTACCGTTTTCTGCGCCTTCCTTTTGGGATAATATCAGCACAGGACATTTTCCAAAGGAAAATCGATGAGACGTATGAAGGGCTCAATGGAGTGGCAGCCATCGTGGATGACATCCTCGTGTTTGGCAGGACAAAGGAGGAACACGACGAGAACCTCCGTGCCATGCTTGAGCGCACACGGGAGCGAGGAGTACGTCTCAATCCAGAGAAATGTGTCATAGGCGCCACAGAAGTGAGCTACTTTGGACACAAACTCACCCGGGAGGGCATCCAGCCAGACCCAAAGAAACTGCAGGCCATAAAGGACATGCCACCTCCTGAGAATAAGAATGAGCTTGAGACAATCCTTGGAATGGCGAACTACCTGTCCAGATTCGCACCACGACTATCAGAGGTGAACGCACCACTGCGTCAGCTGCTCAAACAAGACTCAGAGTTCATCTGGGATCAGACCCACGACAGAGTCTTCCAGCAAATGAAAGATCTCATAACCAGAGAACCAGGCCCCATACTGGCATACTACGACACGACCAAGGAGCTACGGCTACAGGTAGATGGATCAAAGTATGGTTTGGGAGCTG